TGGCTCTGCCCAGTCCAACACAGTAGGGCAGAGGTCTGTTTAGTGCTAGCCATGCTCACAGTTTTCAGGCACACAGTGCGTCTCTATTACCATTAAGTAAGTTGTAGCACTCTGCTCACACATCTTATTTAAATGTTCCATAGCCAGACCTCCCAAAAGAGTCAGAGACATTCATGCTGGCAAACCAGGAAATCACCATTTTGAAACTACAAGTTTTTTTTTTCCTGCTATGGTTGATTCAGGAAGACCTCTCTAAAGCATGCTGCCAGTAAGCAGAGCCCATCCAGGAAAAAAAAAAAATGCAACTAAACTTTGTTTTCTAGTTCCTAGAATTTTTTTTCCAAGCCCTCTCAGGTTTTACATGAATTTAGCTCATACATTTTGATTGCCAATTTGTTGTAAATAGCTCAACCTGATTTACCTCAAATTGTTATTTACCTAATATTTGTTACTGGTATCCTGAGTTGGTGTCTTCCTAGTTATTTCCTGTATCTGTGAAAGAAAGACTTAATTCTTGCTTTGTTCTGCTTAAAATTCCAACCTCATGTTTGCTATAATTCTCTTTTCTATTTTTTAGCTCAACATTTATCCTGAAAAGGAAGAGTAATGAAAGAATGATCTGCATCTCTATTGCCTTTTTTTTAAGCCACTGGGTTCACAACACTCTTAATTTCTCTAGAAAATAAGAATGAAAGAAAATGGAGAAAAGTGAACAGCTGATACTATTGTCATGTTTATATATTCAGAATAGGGTGACATGTATTTTAACTTTCATTGGGGTATAAATGTAGTTAGCATTCCTTTGCTGGAAATTGAACCTGTGACCTGCACATGCTAGGCAAACACTCTTACACCTGGCCCTGCAACCTGTGTGTGTGTGTGTGTGTGTGTGTGTATGCATGTGTATAAGGAATGTATAGTACAACAAAGGAATGAAGGACAGGTATGAATAGGGAATTTTATATAAAATTATTTTTAATACTATTTTAGTACAAGCAACTTAGATTTCATTTTCTATTTTTCCCTATGATTGAAAATATCATATTCCCTAATAATTCATGATCTGCTCATACTTTGATTACATTCTTCTTACTTTTATGGGGCATTATATATACCTTAATACTTAAGAATATGATATTCATAATAAATATGTTTTTACTAGAAATCTGTATTATATAGCAATGACAAATTATAATTTTCTAATAATATACTACTTTAGTGATTAAAATGTTCATATTCCAGATGTATTTTCAATCATGAGCTTATCTGCTCTCTACTAAAGGATAAATATTACATATTTTGTGTTGTATCTAATAAATGTATAAGATACACCATTTCTTTAAAAGTAATGTTTTGTAAAATATTATTGGTTCTTGTTTTTCTTAATTTTCTCTACTTTGGAATAATATATCATCATATTTCTAATACATTTTCATTCTACTTCTTAGTAGTTTCATTCAATCAATTTATCCTTCCAGAGTTCCTTATATAAAAATATTTTGACTGCGAGGGGTGCACCCATCCACTGAGACAGTGGGGCTGATCTATAGGGAGCTCACCAAGGCCAGCTGGACTGGGATTGAAAAAGCATGGGATAAAACCGGACTCTCTGAACATGGCTGACAATGAGGGCTGCCGAGAAGCCAAGACAATGGCACTGGGTTTTGATCCTACTGCATCATGTACTGACTTTGTGGGAGCCTAGCCTGTCTGGATGCTCACCTTCCTAGACATGGACGGAGGGGGGAGGACCTTGGACTTCCCACAGGGCAGGGAACCCTGACAGTTCTTTGGACTGGAGAGGGAGGGAGAGAGGAGTGGGGAGAGGAGAGAAGAGTGGGGGGAGGGGGAGAGACATGGGAGGCTGGGAGGAGGCAGGAATTTTTTTCAATATAAAAAATTAATAAAAAATATTTTTCTTTCAGAATTTTATACAAAACTATTTTGATTATATTCATGCCCCACTCCTCTTTCTAATGCCTCTAATATTCAGTTCATCACTGTGTCCATCCCCAACTTTCCGCCCAATTTTATTTTCTGCTCTTATAGTGCAATGGAGCATCATAATTTTTTATACTGTTACACAAAAGGGAACTGCATGAGAATCTGAACAATTATCAGTTTATAGTTATTTTCTGGCAAAAAACAAACCACAAAATTTTATTTTGAAAGAATTTTTATTTTATATTGAGCACATTAAAATAGCAGTAAGTTCTAAAAAATATTTTCTTTTGCACTATCATTCATTTGCAAAAAGTTGTACTAATGTTTCTTCATTTCTTAACAGCCATTCCTAAGATTTTGTTTTCACATTCATATACTTTTTATTGCTAGCCTTTTAATGTTTTTCTAACTCCCTTAATATTTGCTATTTCTGTTGATCTCTATAATTCTTGTTATTGCGGAGTGAATTAGCTAAAGTTATGAAATTACATTTTAAAGCAACAGTTGGTCATTGTAGGAATTCCTACTAATTCCACTTAGGCTAGTAGCAGGTCAAGCATTTCATAGAGTCCTGAAAAGTCACAGTCTGGCATCCTTTTGGGGTCTGCCTAATAAGATGTTTAAAAATAGAAAGCAGCTTAAGCCATGACTAGTTCAAAGCTTGGATTGACATCAAGTCTTTCATTGCACTGCCTAAGATAATCAAACAATCCATGTAATCACTCTGCTATTGCCTGTCTGTTAGACTAGACTAAGAAACAACCCACCTCAGATCCTTTGATGTTTTCTTTTAGATCATACTATGTCATACAGACCTTTTAATCTCAAGAATGCAAAAGTAAAGTTATTTTTAGAAGCATAAATGCAAATCCAGAGATAAGGTTTAGAGCTCTGCTACATTATATCCTTCTCAATTACATTAAAATTCTATAAATGTGCACTGAGGAGTATGCTGAATTTGTCTTCAGAGAAAGAGCCACATTTAAACCCTGTCTGATCAATTACTTTGTTCTGTGATTGGAAGACTTTTGCAGCCGCCTGTCACAATGCTGCCATTGTATCATTAGTTAGAGACCCGCTTGTCTGAAGGAACTCTGTCTACTATTGACAGTCTTTACTACCTTGCAGGAGGCTCTCATTATAACTATGAGCACTGTTATTTGAATCACTATGGAAAGAAACTTGGTTGTTGTTTTAACTGAAATAAAGAGAATTATTTGAATTAGAGCACTGGACAAGGTCTCACTAATCAATCTTAGAATATTTTAATAGAAATATATTAAAGGTTGCTTCATATAATGTTCTTATACTTATTCTTATACTTTTAATACAAACATAATATAAGGAAGGATTGTTCTGCAAATGTAATATCTTTTAATTAGTGCTTACATTTTAGTTCCTCTTTTCATTATAAATCCATTCTTCAGCTGCTTGAAATTTTCAGTTTTGTCATTAAATAAATAAACGTTTATAGCATTCATTAACCATGCACAAAGGTGTTGATCTGGGAGCTGACACTCCGTAAAGAACTAGGTAGACAGAATCTCTTACCTTATTTGCACTAAGAATCCAAAGTAAATATACACTCTTAATGGGAAACTACAATGAGATATATTAATGCAAATTTTAAAATAATGGAGACTGTGAGAATATAAAGAAAATTCGGTTTATATTTAATAGATTAATTTAGAAGGTTATATTACATATTATTTTAAATTGACCAGTTTAAATATTCCACAACACATACAAATATCAAAATGTTGCAATGTAGATATATAACGTTTTGTTATTAGAAAGGGAGAAGATGTGGGGGTGATAATGGGATTTAAATATAATCATAGGAGATGATATATTTACATCAAAACATAAATTTGAAGTTCATACTTTTATACTCAAGTGTAAATAACAAAAAGGGAATGAACCAACAATGATATTTTTAAAAATTCAAACAGAACATTGGAGTTGTATATAACAGGTCCTAGAAAGTACCAAGTGTAGGACCAGTATTCATACAGCCTCCCAGCTCCTTTTTCCTTTTCCAGATATCTTTTATGAATTTGTTCTTGAGAATGTTCTACATTGGTTTTATTAAACAATAGTAACATCTCATATATGTTTTTCTTATATATGTATATGTGTGTGCTTATTCACATATGTATAATATAAAACCCAGGAACATTTTGAAATCCTAGTGCAAACTTTGGAAAGGGGAATTATCAGAACTACATTATGACAATCAGTCCTAAGCTATATGTTGTGGATGGCTTAAGAAATTTACAAATTTTTGGCCTTATAATTTACCTTAGAAGGATTCTTTTAAATGTCACTAGATCCTGGAAGGTAGACCTTCCGATCTCTTCACCTTGCTATTAAGAGTTGAAAGTGATAAGTTGGCCTATTCACATTTCATTACAGCTATATTAAGTTTAGTGACTATTTGTTCTACTTCAACAGTGGCATTATTCAACTGTACAGTTCTCATAATGCAAATTGTAAAGGAAACTAGGGAGGGGAAACAACCATACAAAGCAAAGTAAAAACTGAATTCAAAACAAATCCTTAAACGCATGGTTATCTTAATTTCTCTTTTCGAAAAGGTGCCCATTCAGAACAGATTGTATATGTGTCTCGGTGGTGGAAGTGGATTATCTGTCCTGAATTGGATTGTGATGACGTTGACCCTATTCTAAGTAAACCAAATCTCTTGAACTATCTAATAAGATCAGGAGGAGCACTCAGCCTGAGAACGGCAGAATGCAACAACTGAGATGATTTGGCTAATGTTTTCTTCCAGCTTCTTCCTTTGATGTGCAAGATTCTGTGACTTTTTTTTCTGCAGACACCTCTGATCTTGTGTACTAAGTTGATGTGGTTTGTCTTTTCTTTTTCTTTATGTGAGCAGAGCTGAATGAGTACCAGAAAGCTACGCAATCTGTCTTACAAAAAGGTGATCGTGAAAGAGTCTAGTTTCTTTGTTGTCTGTGTGATAGGAATTGCTGAAAATCTCCTAAAAGTTAACATTTCAATAATCCACTATTACTTTTTCTTCTATCTAGGCTGTGAGGAAACAAAAGTTGCTTGAACAGAGTATCCAGACTGCCCAGGAGATTGAAAAATCCTTAAACTTAATTCAGGAGTCCCTTGAATTCATTGACAAACAGTTGACAGCTTATATTGCTGACAAGGTGGATGCAGCTCAAATGCCTCAGGAAGCCCAGGTAAGTATAACTGGAAATAAGCATTGTTTTTACTTTTATAGTCTTAATGTTTTTACTCCAGTGGGATATTGTACATTCATACTTACGTGTTATTTAATTAATCATGAAGAGGTTTCCTTTCATATACTCATTTGTCTATTTTGAAGTAAGCGCTTAAAGAAGTCAGTGTTACAGTTCTGAGATTTACTTTTCAAAGTTTACAGTACACCAATTTCCAGCAGAGGCAATGAAAACCAAGATATCTGATATTTATTGTTCACAAATGTTTCAGAAATATAGTCAACCTTGAGTGGAACCATAACAATTAACATGACACAAATATTTTTTTCTTTTCTTAAACAGTAGCCCCAATCATTTGTCTCAAATACTTATTTTGTATGCTGAGAATCAAAGTTCTAAAAATTGTTTCTGATTTCATATTCATATGCTACAAGTAGCTAACCACAGAGTAGAAATAAGTATTCACCCTGTTACTATTAATCACACTGGATGTGTTCATGTGCAGAAACTCACATACACCCATGCTTTCAACCCAAATTATCAATTACTTTTAATTGCATTTCCTGGAAAATGTTATTTAATGTGAAAATGAATCCCATATATAGGAATTAACTAAGTAAATTCCATACCCTAACATATTTCATATGGTAAGAATTTTAATCAGCAAATATCTGTTTTTTTATTTTTTTTTCGAGACAGGGTTTCTTTTTGTTACAGCTCTTTCTGTTCTGGAACTCACTCTGTAGACCATGCTGGCCTTGAACTCACAAAGATCCTCCTGCCACTGCCTCCTGAGTTCTCTGATTAAAGATGTGTGCCACCACCACCCTGCACAAATTTACATTTTTAAATAACATGCAAATGTAAGTATAATCACATGTGTATCATTAGTTAAAATTTTTAAACCTGTGCTATGTGTTAGGACAGTAAATAGCTTTTGTAAAAATCATATACATATATTATATACATAATAACCAATTATAATTAATATCTCTATGAAATGATATATGAGGTATTAAAAAGTGATGTGTAATTCCCATAGTTCCTCTTCTACCTTATTTATAGAAATTCTAGAAGCATTTTACTTTAAAAGGCAAATAATTGTTTAAAATTTAGGATTTATAGATCTTGGCAATAAATGCTGTTATACTACATTGAATCACAATTTGTTGTGACACATACTAACATTTAGTAGTTTACCACATTGTCCACATTTAAAAAATGAAGTCTCTGGGCATTTGCGGTAGATGATAAGATTTTTTTCATAGTATGGCAAATTTCAGAAGAATGCATTCTTTATAGAATCCACATTATTGCAATTGTCAAATAACAAATTTATTCTGGAGGGAAATTTTGTTGGTAAGATCAGTCTTGAGACAAGAACAATATATATTATAATGGAAATAGAGATAATAGCTACTTTATATTTTGATATTTGGTCACTCCAGTACAGGCACTAAAAAAGTAACCTTATAAAGTCCTAATCAAGTACTCTAGTGTTAATTATCTGTGTGACTATCTAAAAATAGTGAACAGAAACTAATAATAAATTGAGGACGTCATGTATATAAACTAAGAGTAAAGTAGAAGTTCTACTTTAAAAAAATAGTGGTGTATCCTTGGAGGGATGAATGAATATAGAATGACTGAAGGTTTCTGAATAGAAGAAAATCATTTTAATGGTATAATTTTGAAATTAAAAAGTACCACATTAAAATTTATAAAGACTCAGTTTTGAGACTTTTAGAGTGAAATAATAAGTAACACATTAAAGACAGACTATTATTGACTTAGGTAAAAATGTGAGCTTTTAGAAAAAACTTGCTTGTTTTGAAAGAACATGGTATATAATTCTGGTACAGTATTCTATAGCATACATATAATAGTTTCTTTGGCATTCTAAATTATAAAACCTCAGCTCTGTAAACAGACTAATATAATGTTATACAGATTTAACAGTATATACTTAGGAATATATATGTGTATAAAGTAATATTTTATATGTATATATGATTGTGTTAAATGTTAATGTTAAATATAGAAGTTTAATAATATTTTCAAGTAACATCTCAGTTAAGTTAATATACATTAAATGAATTTTAAGCAAGGCTGGAGTTCAAACAAGTTCAAATCAAATTTCCAAGTGTTTCTGGTCCACTTAACCTTTTTTAATTCATTTATTTTTCATCCCTATCACGGTTTTTCGTCTTTCCTCTCCTCAAAGTCCCTCCCCCACCTCTTCTCTGACCTCCTCCCCAATTCATTCCTCGTCCCTTTCTATTCAGAAAATGGCAGACCTCCCATGAACATCAACAAAATATGGCATATCAAGTTGCAGTAACTCTAAGCACCTTCCCTTGTATTAAGGCTGACCAAGGCAACCTCGTATGAGGAGTAGGGTACTGAAAGTCAGCAAGAATCAGTGACAGCACCTGCTCACACTCTTAGGAGTCCCACAAGAAAACCAAGCTTAACATATAGGCAAAGGGTCAAGGTGAGACCTATGCAGGATCCCTGATTGTCAATTCAATCTCCCTGAGCTCTTATGAGCCCAGGGTAATTGATTCTGTGGGGTTTCTTCTGATGTTCTTCACCCTGCTTGGTCCTACAATCATTCCTCCTCGTCAGTAGGATTCTTGGAGATTGGTTGTGGGTCTCTGTATCTGTTTCCATCAGTTTCTGGGTGAAGCCTCTCTAATGACAACTGGGCTAGGTACTAATCTAAGGGAATAGCAGAATATCATTAGGCATTATTACATTAACATTTTTTTTTCTCTAGTCGTGTTTGGTTCTATCCTTTGTCTCTGGACCACCCAGCCTCTGGGTTCTGAGGCTCTAGGCTGTTTCAAGGGCATGCTCACTCTTATGGTGTGTGTCTCAGGCTGGATTAGTCATCGGTTGCCCACTGGCACAATTGGTGCTCCTCCTTTGCTCCAGCACATTTCATAGGCACGACAAACAGACAAACAAATTCAAATCAATTTTCCAGGTTACACTTAACTTTTAAAGATATTTCTCGAAACTGAGTCCCTTGTTATGTAAATGACAATATGTAACATTGGAGAATACAAAACACCTCCAAACTGTTGAACATTATTTCATCCCAACCTCTCCTTTGCCCATGACTGCAATTTTTTTTTTCTGTAAAAGAGCTATGAAGTACTAGATTTCCTTGAAGGGTAGCATTTCCTAAAGGCTCAGTTGAAGCACCTGTTGAAGCAGAGTTGAAGAGTACAGAAGCAGTCTGTGAAACAAGAGTTTAAGCAATGTTCCAGACACAGGAGCCACTTAGAATGCCAGCAAAATTACATTCTCTGAAGTTTGTGTTTGTGGTGGGAATGGATTTGAATGCTTTATATTGGCAGAAAAAGACTGAAATGTGATTCCTTAAATGCAGGTCAATAGTTTGATACCAATTTAAAAATGAGTGGGCTTTGTGTTCCTCAACAGAAATTGCATTCTTGTTATAATTCATTAATAACCAGAAAAAAAGAAAAAAAAACAAAAACAAAACAACAAACAAGTGCGTGTGTAGTGTTTCTGTGAATGCTATTCATTTACATAAGAGCTTTGATCTGAGAGATGCCGATCCTGGGGATTTGTGAGTGTCTGTCTCCACCGTGTGGTGCACTACTAGTTTTGCTACTAAATAGAATTTTAAAATACATCTTTCCGTTTCTTCAGTTTAAATTGAGAGCCTCATGTATAAAACCATTGTAACTATATGGTGATATATGTTTTGTCACAAACTTCTGACATTTGTGTCTTATTGTACATAAAAGTATATATAGGTGAATATGCTTAACTTTTCCACATTTACATTCAGAAAGTGCCCCCAATTAATCATTATTTCCACTGAGCAATTGTCTAGCATCATTAGAACACAGTAACGTTGACATCTACCTTTTAGAAAAGTATGGTCCTTCGTATTTAGTGATATGCGTTTATAGAAACAAAGCTTAACCAATTTTAATCATAAAAGTATATCCTTAAAACAGCACAAGTGGGCCTGTATATTTAATTTCAAATAGTAATATTAAAAATCACCATTTGAAATGTTTCAGCTGCCTAGTATATTATAAATTGATTCAAATAAAATAAAACACACAGCCTCATTTAGATGCAGAAATGTATCTTGTAGGGTAGTAAAACCCTAGACTTATGGACCATTTAAAAACACTAAGATTTAAAATGTCAAACTCCTTAAATACTTCTTTGAAGCAATTATACAAATAAAATAATCCATTTGGTCCAGCACTGGTGCTACATGCCTTTAATCTAGCACTCCAGAAGCAGAGGCGGGCAGCTATCTCTGAGTTCAAGGCCAGCCTAGTGTACAAAGCAAGTTCCAGGACAACCAGGGTTGTTAAACAGAAAAACCCTGTCTGGAAAAAAAAATACAATTGTATTAATGGCAAAAAATCACAAAACTCAAATTTAATAAATATTTCTTAACTTTCCATAGCAATATATGAGAGCATTAAGGTTTATGTTCATAAATCAAATCAGGTATTAAAAAGAATTCAGATATAAAAACCGCACCTCAGAATTATTAAGTAAGGGTACATTCAGTCAGCAGAAAGTTTAGAAACACTTTTGAGTACTCTGAAATAACCGAGGATACTTTTTTCTTTAGGTTTGGTATTTTGGGTTCTCTATATTTCACTTCTCACCAATCTTACAAAGACTTTACTGATAACTGTCTAACGGTTTTAGTTGATGAAGGTCAGAGTGACCCTTCACTTATTGTTGACTATTTTTCTATTTTGGTTGTGGCATCACTCCTATGGAAAATGGGTGAAAACAGTAGAAATAGCTGAGAACCACTCACTACACATAGTTAACACAGGTAGAACTTACATTGTATGTGTACATTTCAAAATGAATTTTGATTTATTATTTCACTATTTCTAATTTCATATATGTAATAGATCAACTAACTAGAAGAACTTTTATCAATTTACAGGACACAGGTAACTATATTTAAATAGCTACATGCT